GTGGAGAGTGGAGACAACGGAACATCAAACGAAATCTGAAGAAAAAATGACTGATGAACAGCGTGACTGCCGGCACCGTCGCTCAACATGTTTGCCACTGGAAAAATCGTAATCGGAGTAATCGTACGTAATCTGAGAGAAAACAGTAAGGATCTGCATTCAGAAGGTACTTGGGGCCGTCCATATATTACGTAACGCAAATTTGAAGTATTTTGAATATACCCTGCCCTCAGTAACGCACCTGTAACGCGTGATTGAACCCTCCCATAATAATTGCGCAACGCTTGCAACACCTCCCCCCTATGTAAATACAAGACGTGAAAACAATTTATAGTTCAGTAAAACAAATATATTCATTTCATTCATTCATTCAGTTAATACTACCAATAACTTTAAATAATTTTGTTTGAAAAGAAATTAATTCGACAAAATTTTCATGTTTTAGGTATACAAAAAATGATGTATTCCCACAAATATTTTTAAAAATATAAAAAAATTTGAACGTTACATTGCTCTAATGGAATACACCCTACCCCTATTCTGCCTCTAACGTCCTCTTTAGCGTTACGTACATCATGGACGGCCCCTAACACAAGCGCCAAGTGGCGACGCAACAGCACTTTTCTCCCTTCTCTCTACTCTTTTCTATTTTATTTCTTTTGTTGTCTTCTCTTTTCGTCACCTCCTCTCCTCTTCTCTTCTCTCGTCTTTCTTCGCATTTTTCACCTTCACTATTTCTCCTCTTTACTTTCCTTTTTTCAGCTTTCGCTTTTGGTTTTTTCATTCTTAATTCTTCTATTCTCTGCTTTCTTCTCTTTTTAATTATCACATATTCCCCTTTCTCACATTTTCTCTCTTCTTTTTCCCTGTTGGTCTTTCTTTTTCCAGTGTATAACTTCTCTTTTTTCTTCTTTCTTTTTCTCTTTTCGTATTTCGCCTCTTCCCCTTTCTCACTTTTTATCTTATCTGGTATTTCATATCTTCTTATACAATTTCGTCATGTTGTATCTTATTTTGTCTTGCAGTGTCGTTTCTTGTGGTACGGAGCCAAATCGTGTTGTCAGATCGATCGACCTTTTGTATTTCCACGTCCTCTGTTGCGATGTGTCGAGGCTTGTTTCTAGGCTTGTTTGAGTCTGGTCTTGGTCTTTTTGGTCTTCGCCTTCGTCGTTTCGGATTTAATCTTGGTCTTGGTCGATTTGGTCTTGGTCGATTTGGTCTTGGTCGTTTTGGTCTTTGTCTTGCTCGTTTTGGTCTTGATCGTTTTGTTCTTGGTGGTCTTGTTCTTGCTCGTTTTGGTCTTGGTTTTGTTCGTTTTTATCTTAATCTTGATCGTTTTGGTCTTTGTCTTGGTCGTTTTGGCCGTGGTCGTTTTGTTCTTGACCTCTTGTCTTGTTCTACCGTCTGTGTCTGGATTTGACTCGTCTTGTCTGGATTGGTCCGGGCTTGTCTTTGTTGACCTGATTTTTTTCTTGTCTGGCTTTTGATATGATTTGGTCTCAATCTGGTCTTATTTGGTCTTGGTCTTGTCTTGACCGATTTATTGCCTTTGTTGATATGTTTTACTTGTCTGGCCTAGTCATGGTGTGGCCGAGTCTTGTCTGGCCTTGTACTGTCTGTCTTGTCTAGTTGGCATCTCTATTGTCTGATCTCGTGTCGTCTGACCTAGTGTTCTTCGTATTCTCTGATCTGTTTCTTAGTCGTACCGTGATGGGTTGCTGTCCTTTCTTTTTCGTTCGGAGCTTGTGATGTCTTATAGTGTCACGTGTTGTGTCTTATCGTTCACATCTTGTGTACGAGTCTTATCGTCTTATGTTGTAGGAATTGTCTTATAAGGTTTCTAGTCGTATTTCGTCGAGAGGGCCTCCAATATCATTGCATTTTGCATCGTTTTCTTTTTTCTTTCTTCCTTTCTGCATTAGTTTTTCCTTCCTTTATTTCCTTTCATTTATTTCATTTATAATTTGGAATCTTTCTTGTTCTGTTTGTCTCCTTCTTTGTTCCTTTCTTTGTTTTTGTTTCCTTTCACTTTTCAAACCTGTACAGATATATTTTCTCAATGCCATTGCATTATTTCCATTCTTTCCTTTTCACATCGTTCCTTTTGATATCTTTAAACATATTTTTTTATTTATTTTTTTAATAAACAAAATGCAGTGCAGTTTATGTAAATGTTGTGTTAAGTGTCAAACAATGTATTGTCCTGTGTTTCTAGAGAACGTGGATCATTGAAGTTTAGGCGGAGCCGCAGAATGGCAGAACTGGTGTTATTATGTTTAGTTCAATGTATGAAGTATACATTTTAGAGTGATAACGACATGTGTTGTGGGTGTCATTAAGTTATGTGGGACGTAGTTCAGTATAGTGTATGTAAATGTTAACAGTGTAAGATATAAACTCGGATATTAACTTAGATATATTGGGGTTTTTTGATATGATATCATATGTTTTAATTTTGTAGAGATTATAGAATTTGGGGTTAGATAATTATGGCAAGAATTTCAGCTTATCATCACAATATTAGTTAATTTATTTAATTTTAATTTTCTTATAGATATTGATGCTTACGAGTATATATGTTGATGCTTATATTATGTGTTTTCGAGAATTGATACAGTAATTGTTTTTACATTTTTTCGAGTATGTTGTTTTGATTTAGACAGGATTACCGGTAATATTTTTGTGCTGTGGCTTCAATATGATATACGTGTTCATATAACTACGCCCGTGAGAGAAACTGAGTTTGTGGCGTTGTTTTGTATAGTGCAGTGTACAAACGTATTAATTTTAGAGAAGTCACATGATGTGTTGTGTGGTGCAATGTACTCATATGAGTGTTCAGTTCTTTGTTTGCAAAGATTAGTGTTGTGAATTCATGTGAAGTATCGTGCTGTGTTTTAATAATGTGATACGTGTGATCGCGTATGTAGAGAAGCAAGAATACTTGGGCGTTTTGTTTTTTGTAGTGCAGTAAACAAAGTGAAACATTTACAGTGATTAAGTGAAGTGTTGTGTGGTGTAATGCACTCATATGTGATGCCATTCAGTGCAGTAATTTAAAAATATTAGTGTCGGGTGTTCATGTAAGTTTGCGTTGTGTTTTTAAATATAGTGATACGTGTTGATCGACGTATGTGAGAAGCAAAAATGGTGGCGTTGTGCTTTTTGTAGTGAGTAACAAAGTGAAAATTTTACAGTGATTCGTGATGTGTTGTGTGGTGTAATGTATTCATATAGTGATGCCAGTTAGTGCAGTGTTGAAAAATATTATGTCGTGTGTGAATGTGAAGTTTCGTGCTGTGTTTAAAATTATTTCTGATACGTGTTGATCGAAGTATGTGAGAAGAAAAAGAGTAGTAGGTGTTCGTTTTTTTGTAGTGATGTATACAAAGTGAAACTCTTACAGTGATTGTGTGATGTGTTGTGTGGTGTCAGTTACGATGTACTTTATTTCAGTGTTTGAAAATAGTAGGTTTGTGATGTTAATGCTGTGTTTTGAAATAAAACGATCATTGGAGATTAAAGTATGTGAGAAGCGCAGAAAATCAATTGTGTGCGTATGTAACGTTGTTTTTGTGCAGTGCTGTGGAAAATGAACATTTTACAGTAATCACTTGATAAGTTGTGGTATCATGTACTTATATATGAGGTACTCTTTTCAGTGTTGCAAATATTATTAATCGTGTTAATGTGAATTTATGTTTTTTTTTAAATATTGTGATATATCTTAATTGAAGTTTGTGAGAAGACCAGAAAAGCAGTTGTGTGCGTTGTGTGGTGTTGTTTTGTGAAGTGCAGTTGAAGATATGTAAATTTTTCACGTGATGAGTTATGTGGTGTAATGAACCTATATAAGTTGGTTTTGTTTTCAGTGTTTGTACATATTAGTGCGTGTGTTCATGTGAAGTTTAGTGGAGTGTTTTGAAATATAGTGATGCGTGTTTATTGTAGTATGTAAGAAGCTAAAAAGCAGTGGTGGACGTGTGAGATTTTTTTTTGTGTAGTGCAGTGTACAATTGTATATTTTACGGCGATCTCGTATTGTATTGTATGGCGTCATGTACTTATACCACATGTAATTCCGTTCAGTGTTGCAAATAATAGTGATTTGTGTTAGTGTGATGTTTTGAGTTGTGTTTTAAAGAATATGATGAGTGTTCATTCAAAAATGTGTGAGGTGCGCAATGGCAGTGCTATGTTGTGTTGTTTTTTGTAGTGAGCGTACAAAGTGTGTGTTTTACAGTGATTACGTGATGTGTTGTGTGGTGTGAAACACAGAAAAATCGTGACAGTGTTTGAGCCATAGGCCTACTGGGGAAGGAGGGCTCAATAAATTGTACTCCTAACGAGTGTATTGCCGAACCGCAAGGTCACTTGGAAGACGGCAAGCTTATTGTTACAAGAGGCTTCACGTGGCATGCAGAATATAGTCTCCAGGCCCATTCTCAATGCAAACGCAAACATAAGAATAACGCATATCCGTAAACATTGTTATAAGTAATAGACTGAACTTTTCACAATTTCTAACAAACGTAAACAAAATAAGAGTATGGTGTGCGACACATTTAAGTGTCTATTGGTTAGCTGAGAGCATTTTCTAGGTATGGACTGTCTCCATGGACCAATGGCGTTATTTAGTTTATTGACTTCGCTATTTCGATTCTCGGTATTTAATTAACGTACTGTGATTGAATCGCGATCCACGTAGGTGATTTTTTTAATGGAATTTGAACCAAGCGGTTTGGTTTGAACTGGAGATGGATGCATGGTAGGAGGTAGAATTAAAACATGTCATGGACTTCTTTAAAATTCATAATACATTAATAATAAAGGCCAACGACAGAAAACCTGAAAAATATAACAAAAGCGCAAGATTCGATTTTGGAATCAATTCCATCAAGAAACGAATTTCAAATCCACAGAAATCGAAAGAGCAGAGTCGATTCCGGAATCGAATTGGAAGGATCGGAACGTCCCTATTGTACGAAAGAGCGCCAAGGAGGAGCCCTAAGTCCCTACCGGCATATAATTCCAGGTTATTTCCGCCATGCATGTTCAAGAAAAGTTGTCAGAGTGTAATTATAATTTGAGTTAGTCCAACAGTGCGCTGCACTGTTCCGAGGGTGGCCTCTGTGAAAATTAGAATTCGGTAAATGATATTCTCAAATTGTGTTGAACCAGTACATTACAAATTTTCGTCATAACATGGACCAAATTTAAATATTGTCGGAAAGTGTGGTTAAGATAGAAAACGTAAATAAATTTTAAACAAGTGCCTTTTTTTTTTCAAATTAAGTATTTAGTAAAGAGTAAAAGTATACTGTTTTAAGGTTCTGAAATTCTAGATCATTGTAAGAATACTATAAAAGATTATTAGCATTATATAAATTTTCATGAGTTTTATTTTTACTCACATTCAACATGTAAGTATTCTGTTTAGTAGTGATGCAGTTATCTTGCTTATACAGTGCATATACTTACTAATATGTTATATTGAAAAAGTGATGAATATCTTATTCAGCACTAGACGTAACACAGATATGGTGCACTGAATGTTTACTACAAATTTGTGCCTATTTAAGGTAAAACCGGAACCTGATGATGATCCTGCGGAGGTTGTATTCTCTTTCACAGTGAGTAGAATATGTATTCTCATTACAATTACTAACTATGAGAAGTAAAGGCTAATTTTCTTTCCAGACATTTTTAGCAAGTTAAGCAAGTTTTTGTGCCATAAAAAGGTTGTCTAGCTAAACAAAATTGTGAGAGATGTAATTTTATTTGAGTACTCTTCATATTTTCTGTAATCCTTCGATTGAGAAGTGTGCTTTACAATGGGAATATCAGAAATAGGGAAATGTAGAAGAGAGAATATTTTTGAGCAGATGTTTTGAGAATATTCCATTTTGTACTTTTCTTCTTATGTGTGTTAAATTTCATGCTCATGGTGATGTCTTTGCTCTTAATAAGGACACTCGTTTCAAAATGTCGTCTTTTTTGTGTGTCAGCTGTTTTATGATTTTTAACAAGCTTGCTGGATTGTGGTTTTAAGATGTTTTGAATAAGAGTTGCTAAACATTGAACTTGACTGGATACTTTGTTTAAAAATGCATACGATAATGGTTGCTGCTAAGTAAAGTGATCTCTAATCAATAATGTTTAATTCAAAACAGTGTTTTGCTCATTGACTTGAAGACAATTTTAAAGCGGTGTCATTTACCAATTGTATGGAATAACAAATTACTAAATCCCATTAAATTACAAGTTAAATAATTGAAGGAAAAATCTATTAAAACTACTTAAATTAGGTATGCATTATTTTAAGAATAATAAAGTTAATACTGTTAATATTACTATATAACATTACATTTCAGATTAAGAATTTATTTAAAATGATGTTACATTATAATGCTGTGGTAATTTCATTAACTTAAGTTTAACACATGAGCAAAAACTGTTCCTTGGAAATCATTGTTTTTGAAGTGAAAATTGCATCATGGGACTACCAATTTTTCCATTATTATCAGCCCCCAGACTGTAAGAGTAACCATTTCAAAATTATTTAGAGTTGAGACTAAATTGTAAAGACACTCAACCTGACACTAAATTAATGATGAACCTTTGTTTCTGTCATTTCCTTCATTTTTACATAGACTTCAGTTTTTGTACTTCCCTGATTACCCATGCTATCGATGAATAGAGATAGCCAGCTTCCAACTATCAGTATACTTGGCTCCCATCTTTTCTGTTGTAACGATGTAAAGAATGTAGGACTTCACATACACAACTTTATGCAAGTAGGTAAGATTCACCAAAAAGTCTTCTCAGCATTCGTTCTCCAAAACCCATATGAGGTCATCTACCTATCAACACACACATGATCTAATAACTTTATTTGTGAAGCCTCATTTCAATTTCTTTGTGTGTATGTGTTTTTAATTTAATCTCTCTGACTTATAAGCTCAGGAACAACGGAGTTGCAAATCACTCAAAACCTTCCATGCGTTTCATTTTAGAGTTGTGTAAGTATATTCCTATATCTGGATACTACAAACACAAATATTCTCTCTGTTTGAAAAAGAAGAGTATTGCATATCCTCTTGCTTCTTCATAGAATCTTGTAATTTTATTCCAGTTCCCTTCAAAGGCACATTGAAAACCTTTAAAATGTTGGAGCTAGAATGAGCATGTTCTTCATTTTCTCTATGCATAACTCGGCCAACACTGTCATACAGGAAGTCTTATACTGTCACTCTAATAAAAACTGGAAGTCAGTCCTATGTATGTTGAGCTAATTAGAAACTGTAGAAAGTTTAACACTCAATTGTGGAGCCTGTATTAAGGAAAGAAATGGAGGTTTTTTACGTATATGCTTTCCTCATTTACGCACAATTTTTACAAAAAATAATAATGCTGCCTTTATTACCTCTATCCTTTGTTCTTTTTCCAAATCATATTTCCCAATCAAACCCAGAGAAAACAAATTAGTCCCAAAATGTGTTGTTGTGTCAGTTTATAAAACAATTGTATTTTTTCATTTTTATTTTACAGTAGATCTTGCCTATATATACAGTAATCATAAGTTATTTTTAGCAACACACATTTCAAGCTTCTGGTCAATTTATTAGTGGCATTTGCCCATAGCAACAACTGTAAAGTAGTGTACTGCTTTTGTTCGTAGGAAAGAGACGAGCAGAGCTCCTTGAAGAGAGAATGAAGATGGAAGATGAAGAGGAGGTAGCTTGACTATTGAGTCTTTGACATCTTGGAATATAAGTGTTACATTTGTAATCAAATCTTGCAAATGTTAATTAGGCCTGATGTACCATTTCATCTGTATTTTCACATTGTTCTGGTCCATGTGAACAGGCACCATACAATGCAGTAATCTAAAAAATGAATTAGAAGTAGCTATATTACCAATATTAATCAGATTAATATGAATGTCTCCTTTTCTGACCGAAATAGTGGAAATATAGCAGGGAAGTGAAAATAGTTTGGTGGGTAAAGTTTTTTGAAGCTGTGTAATTTTCCAAGATTTCTCAGCGTTAAAGAAATTTGATGTGTTATATTTTCTCATTGCTTATGTACTTTTTATATTTGTGTTAATATGTATAGTGTGGTGGGAACTCCCTTTGTGAGTTCAGCTGCAATTTTAGAAAAGTGTTGGTTGACGGGTATGGCCACGTTTTCTGGATTACTTGCTTCTCTTTCAAGATCCTTTATAACAACTTTCTCTACTAAGTATCGAGATGTAGCCGTATTTTTTATGATTTTCCACAATGCTTTAGTTTGTTACTTGCGTTCAAAAATATCCTTATTATTTTTCGATATTTTTGCCTGCACTATTACTTTTCTTAAAATTGTTTTGTATTCTAGGAAGTAGACATGGAAACCAGGTGATACATTGTGATGTTTAAAATGAAGTAAAGCGTGCATGTGTGTGACACAATGTTCTAATTCCTTTTTTTTTTTTTTTTTTTTTAGAGGAAAGCCTGTGTTAAAGTGAAATGAAATGGATTATATTTTAATTGTGTCAACAGCAGTTATAGACCGTGTCCCATGATTCCTTCGGCAAGTAGTTCTAAATAATTTTTGTTAATTTTAGTGAATCTTTGCACATGCGTGCATAATTTGTGTCAGTGTTCATGTTATTAGTAATTGTAGAATGTGTGCATGTGGCACTGTAACCTGATTAGAAATATTCATTTCATACCTAGTTGTGCTTTTGTTAATTATAATTTGATCTATTGCTTTTTGAGTATTCTGTGAGCACTTCACTGTAATATGTAAATTAAAGAATGCAGTAAAATGGGTGCGGCTATGGTTAACATTAGTGTATCTGGCTGTTATACCCGAGTTGGCGGTTCAAACCCGATCGTCATATTTATCCCAATATTTATGATCACTGATAAAACCAAAACTGATAGTCCGCTAAAATATCCATTAAAATGGACTCTAGCATTTTATTGGCAGTTGCTATGGACGCGCTCGTAAAGATTGTTTAGATGATAAGAATTTAGCCATACCAAACGTTCAATTGGCAAAATAGTTTTTTCCTATCTTCTCTATTATCTTAGTCTTTCATGATGTAATAAAGATAAAAATGTGTGAGAGTTGCGATCCACTTGCAGGAGCTGCAACCACTAGTCGGTGTGTTTCTGGATCCTGAGGAGGTTCCCAAGAGGAGAGTGAAGCAGCCAGACGACTGGGTAAAGAGTATTTGAAAACACGGTTGCTGCATAAAGAGATACGTCATGATAATGACGATGTCTGAATTCACTATCTTCAGTGGAAAACTGGACAATTTAACTCATTGCAGAGACCATTTCGTGAAAATGAAACTAGGTTTTCTAGAGACCCATGAAATGTATGGCGGCCCTGTTGACGGAAATCTTTGGAAGATGCCAGAAATCCAATTTTGCTAGAACTTGCTAAGCAGACTTCTTCGGAGGAAGCGACATTACCATCACATGGCGGCTTGTGAATTACGTCACAGTAATAAAGGAGAATAAGTTATGGTAAACAGATATTGGTCACTATAGGAAGTCTACTGCTAGTCAGGACAAGGTGTTCAGTCGAAATTTAGCGCGCACCTCACCTCACTTTGTACCCTAGTTGTCGCTTCCCTTCTCAATTCGAATTGAGGCGTCGGTCTTCGCGAATGCACCTTGACTGTCCAACGCGTAATTTCCAAACCAGTTTCAATCCCAAAAACGTCTTCCGCTATCTAAGAGCGTGACAATCCTTTCACTTTGCCAGCACTACCGGCTAGTGCCAGTATTATCCGGATGTCCGAAAGTAACCGTTCGTAAAGATGTATCCAAACTGTGTGTGGCTAAAGTGTGAATTTACGCCTACTTTGTCCTTAGCCGTTTTAGTTTTGAAACCATGCTGTCTGTGGGCACGTGAACAAGCTAGGGGCAAACAGTATCACAGAAAATGATATCCATTGATGGAATCGATCGGGCTGATATCGCGGTTTTTGAATTTGAACTTTAATTTTTTATAATTTCTCGAAAATGGCTTCATTTGTTTGAATTTTTTCTCAGATAAGGCAAAATACGCACACGAAAAGCCCTACATACGATTTTCGTGAAAATCTGAGTTTTTGAAAATTGAAAAGTTAAAATTGTCTTTCTCGTCTTCGTTAAACTACGATATTTAACATGATTTTGGCTAGTTAGATCTGATCATCCAAATTATATCTTAAATCAGGTCATGTAGAACGTTTTCAGAATTAGTACAGTGTTGCATGGTAAATGATAAGTTTAGACAATTTCAGAAAAACGCACACTTTCTATTTCCGTTCAACTATTGTCACTTTCGTAATGTTCAAAAGCCACAAATGCGAGAAAATGTGTTTTTGTAGCCCCGACGAGTTACTGTGTTGTATTTACTTTTCCATTATATTATTAAATTGTATGTGGGCATTGAGATCGTAACGACATTACAATACCCACTGTGGCTTTACCATTGGTCCGGTGAAAATGAATGAGCACATGAACGACTCGAGTTATTGTGATTTCACTAATTGTTTGTTTATCTGCTTCAGGACCCTTTGGCCTTGGGCACTGAAATTGTTCGTTGTAAAGTGAGACGTCTGCTGGTGAGTATTACGAAACAATGGTCTTACGTGCCAGTTCCATTGTTGCATGTACTATTTCAATAGTTTTATTCCATAACTGTCAGTGGAAAATACGCGTTTGCTTTTAGATAGGCTACTGAAGGCGAGTGGTCGTACAGGCGGACGGATAGACGCACGGACGGAGGACGAGCGGACGAATATTGAAATACAATGGTTTCTTTTATATTAATAACAGGCGAAACAATCTGGTAATAAGCTTGACCGTTAGAAAGGCATTTCTATTAGAATCGCGGGTAGACACTCGTGTTGTGTGTATGTGAATAAGTGATTAAAATCAGTCAATGCCGTGACCCTGAGGTTGCTAATTTGTCGTCCTCTCATGCAGAGCACATTCATACGAATTATGACTATCACGGATTTCTTGTATAATTGAGTACAATTCCTTGAGGAAAGCTGATGCCCTTTTTAATTTCTCACCTTTCGAAATAGAGAAGGGAAAGTATTGCAATGATGCGCTGGAAAATGAATTTTGACAGAAAAGCCCATATTACCGTGTGTTTGTAATGAAAAATTAATGAATAAATTAATCAAGTTTCTTCCTGTATATAGTAAATTACTGCCTCTAACCCGAGTAGTCAGAATCAATGTTTGTGGGTCCTTGATTCCGATTGATTTACCACAAAGTTCAGCTCGTCTTCGATCAACGCTAGGACAAAACAGTCCAGTTAATTTTTGTCCAAAATGTACGATAGATTTAAGGGAATAATGGACTCTCATAACGTGAAATGGATATTTTTTTACATGAAGCCTCAAACCCTTTTTCAATGTTTCGAAAATGGCTCTAAATCTTTCGATTAAATGTTCCCATCAGATAGCGCAAAAGATGCTGTAAGGGCTACGTAAATTCCATTTGCGCTGAAATTCTCAAAAATCGCTCAAGTTCCAAATGTTTTCGGCGCCTTCCTACAACTACAATAATGAATATTGACATTTTTGTCCTTAATAAAATCTCTTCATGAAAACGCCATGAAATCAAATCAATTTTAATTTTTCAAAAAAATGTGTAGTTTTTGTATAATTTTGAGTAAAACGTAGTCGCTTTGTAAACCACTTTAATTATTATTTACTTTGCTGTCCGGGTGACGCCGTGTCCATGATTCCGGCCGCGGAAACCTACGCTCTCGCTTTAATTGTTGTATCAAATACTGCTCCAAATTGTTTTCTTTAAATTTTCCTCGTATTTAGCACAAAAAAAAACGCAACGCCAAAGGGGTTTTGGAAATGAAATGCAATAAAATGCTTAAGTGCGTACCAAACGATCAACACGACGCACATAGCACATGCGTGCAACTTGAGCAAACTGCGTGCGGCTAATTCTTGAAATAACCATATCTAAGGCGTTACCTAAAACACCCACGTGCACATTCTTACCCACACCTTACTAGAGACAGCCAACGTATCGTGAATTATATTTATGAGTACATGTGCTTTAATTAATGTCATACAAAGTTTCTAGAAAACTCGACTGTTTTGTGTGAAAATAGCTCAAAATTCCGCATTTTCAGAAACGCTCAACGCCTTTTTTAAAAAATTGAAAGGTTCCAAGTTGTTTTATCTAACCTTTGGATCGGTTAGTGCTAATTGCACTCATTAATATGTCGAGAAGTTTATTTAGGGGTATTTGTATTTGTTTTTTCAACAATTATCATGTAATTTATTTGAATGATGTCTCACTTTCATTAACATGCACATTCCCTGCAATTTGTGAACACTAGTATTTGTGAGTAAAGTACTTCTAGCTTCTATGACTTTATGTGAAGTTTTCGAAAACAAAAATTTTCTGTGAAAAAACTCCAAATTTTGAAATTTCAAAAGCGCTTAAACGCATTGCTTTTAAAACTTCTCCAAATTTTTCAAGAAAAATTGCAATTAAAGACGAAGTTTTATTGTTCTTTAATTCCCAGAAAATAATATTTCCGTTCTATTAATAAAAACCGAAAAATTAATTTAAAAAATTGCATTCTGCAGCGATAGATGACGGCTGAAGAGTAGGTGGTAAGTGCGTATAGCTAGTGAGACGAAGGAAATAGAAAACTAATACGCGAAAGTCTGTGCCATTCTGTAGCACAAGTAGTTCAAATGGAAGATTTCGTGCTAACAAAGTAATTCTTTGTACAGGTGGAGAATGCGACACAACAGGTGACGAACAACCCGTCCGTGCAAGAACTTGTCGAAAGTGGGCGTGAACTTGGGGTTGAGCAGGAAGAGGAAGGTGGTAATAGGCAGGTACAGATCCAAAGCTCTGAGACGCTTATCAATGCTCTCACTGCCAAAAGAGTTTTACATTCAGAAATAAGTTACTTGCGCACATGACAAGTCACAGCGGCGAGGTCGTCATTAGTGTTCCGTTTGCCAAAAGAATTTCACAGACAACAGGGTTTAGTTAGACATATGGGCGATCCACAGCCTAAACGCCCTCATCAATTTTCGTTTGCCAAAAGAGTTTCACAGAGACCGGTCATTTAGTTAAACACATGCGGATCCACAGCGGTGAGCGCCTCCATAATTGTCCCGTCTGCCGAAGAGTTTTACTGTAAGAGATAGTTTATTAGGCACATGCGCATCCACAACGGTGAACGCCCTTATAAATGTTCCATTTGCCAAAGAGTTCACTCGAGAGTCATTTAGTTACACACATGCGAGACCCACAGCGTGAACGTCCTCATAAGTGTCCCGCTGCCGAAAGAGTTCACACAGACGCAGCAATTTAGTTAGTCAATGCGTATCCACAGCGCTGAACGCCCCCATAAATGTTCCGTCTGCGAAAAAAGTTCACAGAGACCGTTCATTTAGTTACACACATGCGGATCCACAGCCTTGAACGCCTCATCAATGTCACGTCTGCCAAAATAGATTCACAGACAGAGGTAATTTAGTTGACATATGCGGATCCACAGCGTGAGCGCCCTCACAATGTCCCGTCTGCCGAAAGAGTTTTACTGTAAGAGATATTAGTTAGCACATGCGCATCCACAACGATAAAATTAAGAATACTTAGTCTGCCAGAAGAGATTAACAAAGAAAAGTAATTTAGTTAACCGCGTTTTAACAAAGGAGCGAACGCTTCAAAAGTTTCCCACAGAGCAGTTCAGTTGATCACATGCGGATCTCTAGCGGGGAACCCCTCCCTGCTTAATCGAAGAAGCCTTTCGTGCTGCGAGTTTTATTTCCCTACATGCTAGTTGAAGGAAATGTTTGCAAAGGAGATAGCTAACATGCACCCGTACGATGGAACGCCCATCGGAAAAGCTTAAAACGATGTAGTTGCGTTGCACACGTTACAATACGAAGTGTAGAACGTGGCGAAAACAGGTTTTGCCGGAGATGTCATTTAATTCGCCCCGTATCAGTCCACAGCAAGGAATGTGTGTGTGTGGCGTCTGTGGGAAGTTATGTAATTCTTCTCGAGTGGTTTTACAACGAGAGTGCCACCATCAAATCGGTTAATAAACGGGCCATTTTAATGTGCTGCGTTGCTATTTCTAGTTTTTTTTTAACATTTTACGCAGAAAAGAACTTTTTCTGGTGTTCTTTTTTGTAAAGTTGTGGCCGTCAGGAATTGTATGCTGCCTTCGTTCCCAGCAGTCGCTGTTGGTAAACAGACTATCTTCCTGGCCGCACAGTGCCTCCGCAACTCGTCTCTCACGTGCTTTTGGACTCTCCGATTATTGTGAGCCTCGTACGCTAAGCGGGAGTTTAAATGTTCGCCACCGTGCATGGATGAAAAACCCACAGTTGCATTTAATCTTGAAGTAGTCAATGGTTATTTTCCAATAAATAATAATACGGGTTTTCATTATTAATAAAATGTACTGAAGTTCAATTTCAGCCCGAGTAAAAAGAAACATTACTAAAATTTGAAATTAATATGCACATAGCGAGATGAAAAATAATGTGAAATATGCGTTTTAGAACTTTTACATAACTTAAGCAATATGTTGAAAACTGCGCGCCCTAAAATGTAATGTTGAACAATATTTTCAGATTTATTAATTTGTTCTTAATTTTTCTTTTTTCTGTACTTCTTTTTAAAAAATTAATAAAGTAGATACATCAAATGAAAGAGCATCACACTTTGTTCTTTAAAGTCACAAAATATTACAATTCTCTTACAATTAACACACGAGTTAAAAATATTCACTTTAGCAATGCGAGCATTTTATCGAAAATTTTCAAAATTAATATAATCTCAAAAAAACATGTTTCATGTATTTGCTTATACTCTTCACAGAAAAAAAGTTTCACAATCTGGGATGTCAAGTCAAATTCTCCGTAAGTTTCTGCAATTTCACGTGGAATGATCCAAATGTTCTTTAGTATATATACAATTAAATGTACTTTATGTATGTTAATGATATTGTACATTCTTGTAATCTCATGCAAAATACTTGTAATGGTGTAAGATCTTGATCTGTATTGTGTGTTAAATGTATTAAAGTTATAAGTATTAATCACTGCCAATGTCCGCTTTCCAAAGGCACAACACAGGTCGCCAAAATGAGCATCTTTTCTGGCAGTACATTTGAATGTCGCTGGCCACTATCGATTACGTAAAAAAGTTTCACCAGATTTGGAAAAGCAAATAATTCTTTGTTCCTAAAAGGGCTGGTTATAACCATCAGGAATATTTCCTGCCCCTGGAAAACTCTTTACAATTCCATCAGCATCATTCATCATCTATCACCTCTCACTCAACTTCATTTTATTCTATATCCTCGGCTAATCCGGGATTTTCAGTGGATTTTTTAATATTTTCCTGATAAGATTTTTAATGTCTCAGTCAAGAAAATATTAAAGCCAGAATAATAGTAATTGGCATCTCTCAATTCTCCAGGAGAAAGTAAAAAGTTACAATATTTTCTCAACTAATACAAATTGATCCAAAGTTATGTTATAATAATTTTTAATAAGTTAAACTAAGGGATATGTAGTTTAATTAGCCTCTGAAAATTTTTCCTAACCTATTTCTAACGATTCTCTAACAAAGTCCTGATTTTTCCACCTTTTCCCGAAAGTGACCACCGTCATTTCGTTTTCTTCTGTTTTTAAAAGAAAATAACATTAGCACTAGACTGCAAGTTAAGTTATATAATGCAAG